TAGGGGTATTTTAGGTAATATAACGTATCATTTAGCCTTAGTATAAATATAAATATCCCTTTTTCTCATATAGTAGTAGATTATCTTGATTTTGGTTGATACAAGAATTACACTCCTTTTGTGAGTACCTTAAGAATATTTCCTTGCATCTCTCTTTGAACCTATTTTAGATTAATCTATGTGTGGATATTCAATGTATGAGTTTATGTCTCTTTTCCCCTTCGATTGATTATAGTAATTAATTGTTAATTTAATTGCTTGATTATCTTTTCTTTCTTCTAAGTCTCTTCCCCCTTCCTTTATATTTCTAGATTTATCGTTGTCATCTTATCTTGTTATTTGATTATTTATTAATTTATTGCTTCCCAATAAGGTCATAGAAAGGTAAGACTCAACAGCTAAAATCTTTTTATCCTAAATTATTTTACTAAACCGTGAATGTGTGACTTGGATAAAGAGGGAAGATACTTCAGGGGTCAATTTCGTCTCTCTTCACGGGTTTGGGCTGGTTTTAGTGGCCCAAATTCACCTTCTTTCTAGGACGGATTAATTCGGGTTATGCTCCAAGTAGCTCATCAATGATGCATCACACTTTCAAGTCGTTAAACAACGTGTTTACGCCGACTTTATCCCTACCTTGTGAAGGTAGAGAGATTGTTTCCGATAAACCATTGGCTCAAGGAAAGCATAATCCCAGCAGTCATGAAAAAAAATACGGTAGTTGAACTTTCAAGTCAATAACGGTGGACGAATTGAACGGATTATATTTTTATGAATTAAATTTGACACCCTAAAATTTCTAGACTATTGAAGACCATAATAAAATGTTTCCTGTTTTGCCTTCCTTATACAGAACGTGGCTTATAATTACATAATTCTGAATCAGTGTCTCATAATTACATCCCAAAGTATTTTTTGGAGAATTAATGATTCAGGTAGATAATTAAACAATTAATCTTGATGTTATGCTTGCTTTTGTATTTACAAATATATAATATTTATGATGTTTATGCATTTACATTGAAGTTAGTGGGGAAATTGAGTACACTGAAACTTTTGTAAAAAGAGGAAAAAAGTTTGATTGGATATATATATTTAACTTATATATTTCTAATAATAATCGAGAGAGATTACTAATTAATATAATGGTTGAAGTGTTACTTTGATAGAGTATCACATGAATGCTTAAAGTTGATTAATTTAAAAAATTTAACATCATATAAAACATTTTTGAATATCCTGAATCGAAAGTATAGCATATAAATTGAGACGGAGTATTTTATCTCTTTTCGCCCATTGTGTTTAGGCACGTAAAGTTGCATATGTTAGGTAGTGAAGATGATAGGATGGCTAAAGATAATTCCATTAATACAATTCTGACTTGGTGATAGTCGATTGCACCCACTAAATGTTTTAACATAAGGTAAGACTGATTTGCACTTTTGCTACACAAAGAATACCCAACTTCTTTGTAAATACTTTGTCTTCACATTTGAAAGGGATATTTGATCATATGATCATATCCTTTTCCAAAAATTGGGCACCATCTCAAGTTGATACTAGCCAAAAAAATAGCACACCTCCCCCTTTTCTCTTTCTTTTATCCATTAATGTTACTTATACCAATGTATTGGGTGCCTAAGCCTAGTGCTATTACTTTTGCTTTGGCTGAAAATGTGATAGTGTCCAGAAAAAGTACATACAAAGGGTCATGAAATAGGGCAAAAACCTATTAATATTCGGTGTTTACACCAAATCAACTTACGCAAGATATGTATCATCTAGTTAACTATAATCAAGTAATACATATTCTTACTTTAATTTATAATATTTAAAGTTACATTATTTAGTTGATGTAAGTACCGAGTACGGGTGAGTGTTTTTCGTAAAATAGTAGGAATTACAAGGAATCCTTCTCTCCACGTTGTTTTCTTTTTTCAGAAAAGAGAAGTAATCTAACTCTTGTGCATTAGCAATGTTTTGCACTTTTGCCTATACATCTTTCAGGAAAAAAGACGAAAACTTAGGGTGTGTTTGGTATAACGGAAAATGTTTTCCGTGAAAAATATTTTTTAAGAAAATATTTTTTTGGAAAACAAGTAGTAATTTTATTTATTTTTCGGTGTTTGGTACGCAAATTAAGGAAAATAACTTATCAAGAGTATTCATAAATAATTTAGATACAATAAACATGAAGTTATAAACTTTCGAACCAACAACCTTTGGAACCCACAAATTTCATAAACTTCCGAATCGCTAAACTTTCGAAACCACAAAATTTCGAACCTGTAAACTTTATAATTTCTAAACCTGTAAACTTCCAAACACATAAACCTCTGAATTCATAACTTTGGAACTTGTAAAAAATCGAACCTGTAAACCGAAAGATGAAAAAACTAAAACTAAAAATATATAAAAAATATTTTTTTTTCCCGGGGGAGGGGGGGGACAGATAAACGAAAAAATAAAAATTTGAAATTACAAAAAAAGTAAAAAAAAAAATTGTTGGGGGTTAGGTTGGGTGGTGACGAAAAAAAACTGAAATTTGAAGGGGAAAAAAACCTTTTTGGAGAGGGGGGTGGGGTTAGGTGGGTGGGTGAAGTTGGGGAAGGTCGAGAAGGAGTTTTGGAAAATATTTTCCTTCTCTTGATAAGGAAAACATTTTCCTCCAATTGGAGAAAAATGAGTTCATAAGAAAAATATTTTCCAAAATATTTAAATTAACCAAACATAAAAAAATTAAAAAATATATATTTTCCGAAAAATATTTTCCTTCGTACCAAACACACCCTTACTGTACTTTTATATGGTTGTGGATAAGCTTTATCTATGCAAATCTGAAAGTGTGACTTCGATTATTTTACTATTGTCCTTTAACAACAATTTAGTTTATATGGTAAAAGATGCCAATTATTATCCTTTGCTTTAGAGGAGTAGTTTTATGGACAAATTATACCAAAAGGCAAGAAGAAAAACGGATAGGATAGAAGACTATAATTAAGTTCCTTTTTAAAGTTAAAATGATGTGCCCTTATTTTAAAAAGAGTTTAAGTTATGGATATAATTTAAACTCTTTTTAAAATGCAAAGAAAATAAAATCGTATCGCATGCCATATTAATTTACTTCAGGAATGTAGTTGAATAAGGTGGTTATATTCCCCATAAGAATCTAATATTTAATTCTTGATCGGTTATGGTAAAGCATTTTAATTAATTATGAGTATAAACACGTGGAAAGGACTAATATAATTAGAAAAGAAAAAAAGGAAAAACCAAATAGGAATACATTAACTTCTCTTCATTTGGCTGTAATATGCATTTTTACCCACGTCAAAATCACAAAATAAATTTTGCCCTGTCTTGTCTTGTTTTTTCTTTTAATAATTTCTCCATTTACTAAGTTGTCTTTTCTGTTCGTTAAGCACGAAAAAGTTAGAAATGGGGAAAGGAAAGGTCACTATTACTGACACCCAAAACCATGGCAAAAATAATGCGACTGCTTTCTCGTCTTTCACAAAAGCTCTTTTTGTGTACACAATTTTTTTAATAATACAAATGGTGTTTAGGTTAATTTGCGTATACCTAAATTGATTTTACAGAATATCTACCATCTTCACCAATTTAAAATGCACATCTTCTACGAAAAAAAATTTAATTTTCATTCTTTCTGTCTAGTGAGTGATATGTTATTAGTATAATCTTAACGATTAAGACCCTACTTATCCCGAAAATAACTAATAAACATGTTTGCTTCTTTTTAGAAGGTGATAATTTAGAATAATGAGATTCAAGCTTAAGGTTGTCTATTAAACAGTAGTTTTCTTTTGAAATACTGAAAGATAAAAGTTCTTTTAATGAGCTTTGTCTCACAATGTTTTTGTTTTGTTTCTCGCCTGATATTCGTATCCACTTTGGGACCTTGATTAATTCCGATAAAAGGAGACATGATCTCTATAAGAATTTTTCTATTTTCACATTGCAATTTGAGAACTTTAATTAAAGGTAAAAAGATTTTATCTATCCCACCATTGATGATTTTGTCTCATCATATTTTAAATTATCGATACGATGTCATCTTGGTTTTAAAATAAAGAAGGATGATTCCATGTGATTATATTGTTTTTCAACCATCTCGTTTATGCAAGATCTATGGCATAGCTTTTTTCATAAAATTGAATTACAAGGAAAAAGATGAGCTTTTCCAAGAGGATAAGCACCTTCAATCTTTCTCCTTCTACTTTTTCGAATTTCTTTTCATGGGCATATCTTTCTTTTGAACATGTGACAAAGACAGATTCCAATTGTGAAGTTAGGAAGTGCTGAATATTGCAATATCATCAATACTACTTTATGGTACTAATTACAAGCTTAATAAAAATATGCTGCCACTAACAATTATGCCTCAATCACAAACAATTTACAGTGCACTCTCGACTATAGAATTCACACAGTCTATGTTCAATTCACAGTCTAATAAGCATCTACATCTGCCACAAACCTTAAGACAGTATTCCTTCTTATAGATATCACCAAAAAAAAAAAAAACGGCTTTACTAACCAGTTTTTTTTGCTTTTCATTATTCCCTCGGAGTTCATTTATAGTTAGCAGATAGAATCTATTGATTAGAGGAAGAGATGGCGATTAATTGATAGAACCACTTCTGGGACTTGACAACATAACTTAGGTGTTCCCATAAGAATCCACCACTATCCTCTATCCAAGATACATATATCAACATCATGTTGTTGGAACTTGGAACTTAGGACACACAAAGAAAGATAAGGTTATTTAAGGATAGGATACATGTATATGGAATTCCAATTCACATAACTTTGAATATCATGCTACATCAGAATACTCAGTCTCACACTTATATCTTTCCTTTAGACCACTAGTTACCACTAAAATTATTCCAAGCCACAACATCAAAAGGACCATCTTCTTGTCTTTCTACTTGCGCCCAACATAAAGATGGACTCAAAAAATCAAAAGATATATATAATCTCAAATGAAATAACTTCATGTCAATGATGAATTGTCACAAAGATCAACTATTGATATCAGTACAATGAAATAAGGCAAAACTTCTCTGAATAATTAGACTACATTAAACAATAATACAGGAGAAAAATCACCTATGCTAGGTATCATTTCTCAATGGTCCATTCTCCTATTACCTGATTTAAATAATAAATTCAAACAAATATGAAAAGTCAATATTCTTCAGAATTTTGGACCTCCTTTCTCTACTTGTTGTTTTTCTGTTCACAGTTTGCCTTGCTCCCAAGAAAACATGACGAGAACATTAGAATCAAATGCAGTTACTATCTACCAGAACCTTACTTTTTGAAGATGTCAAGACTCGGTAAAATAAAGAATTAGGATGTTATTACAAAGCCATTCACTGATCAAGCTTCATTTGCTCCATCCATGCACTCAGTTGATCAGATTGATCGATCTGGGAGCTTGACATAGAGCCTTCGCCAAGATCTGCAACAGCACCTGTCGGTCCAGAGACATGAGGAACACATTTATCCTTCATCATCTCTGGTGGTGATTCTTTGACAAGAGATTGAACCCATGAAAGATCAGGCTCTTCTCCATTGTTAGCAAGCTCAAATGATGACGATCGCCTTAGCCTACAGAACTCTCCAGTACTGACAGCCCAGTCTGGCTTTCCCATAGCTGTACCCCATGTATCTGCCGGCGACCCAACAATAGCAGAAACATTGGAGCCAAGATCACGAGAGCTGAAACTTCTAAATTGGTGCTGCTTGTCACGTTGAGCAAGTATTGAGGCACGGGGACTTCTTGGTGAGATTGGCTCCATTGCTCGGGGAGACATTCTCCCCGATGAGGGAACTCCAAATGAGGCCTGCAATAGAGGATTATCAACGTTTCTTGGTGAGAAATTCGTATTAATCGGAGATAACAGGCTCTGCTGCTGCTGCAATTGACTGCAAACTGCTGACTTGTGGATAGGGGAAAAACCAGCTTGAGCTAATGCTTGATCAGAGTATCTAGGAGATGAGCTCTCTGCAGAAAATAAGTCCTCAAGATTTGCACGGGTATGGCTCATCGGACGAGGTGAACAGTTCAAAGAATTAGAACTCATGTTGCGCTGGGATAGGTAGGAAAACTCATTTAGGAGCTGCCGTTGCACATCAAAATCAGGATAAGCATTTAGGTCTGCAGCTGGTATATCTCTAGCATTGAGCGATGACCGCAAGCGACTGGAATGGAGAAAGCTTCCAGGAAGATGCAAGGCAGGGACATTTTGCTGGGGCCAACCCATGCTTGAAATGCCATTAGCAGAGGGAGACATTGGAGGTGAGAAAGGTGATGGTGACATGACAGAGACCGAGGAAGGAGAACCAGGTATGAGGCCCATGGCTGCAGCAAAATCCATAGCATTGGCAGCAGCAGTACTCCCTCGAGGTGAGGGAACTGCAGAACCAGTAGAGACATAAAGCGGTCTTAGTTCCTCCTGCGTGTGGGCAAAGAAGCAAACTCTTCTGTTACAATCGGTACCATCTTTGCAAAGCCGAGTTCGATATTGAGCAGGGTGCAGCCAACACTCGAAGACTCCATGAGCGTATTCACACATGTCCCCACGTTGGCAAGCTCCCTTTCGAAACTCAGGGCAAGGTACACAGCTGTAGTGGTACTTTCTAGGATCCCTTCTTCGAGCATTTTCGCCAGGATGGACAAATGGACATTCAGTCCAATCATGCGAGTATGCACGAGAACAAGGTCTGATCTTAAATGAGAACATCCTGAATTCATCTGTAGAATAGATGTTGTTTTTTATGTCAGGCAAGGAGGGGTCAATAGGGTATTCTTTCTTTTCTGGCATAGAATAAACAGGGGTGTCATTGGACTTAGCACTCTTTGGGGAAGAACTTGAGTCTGAAGCAGAAGATGGTGATCTATTTTCACAAGAAGGCGAATGTGGAGGGGAATTTGACTTTGAAGTGGCTATTGATACTCTAAGCTTGCAGTCCCCGATACCACCAGTCTTCAGAAGGTTTTCAAGGCTTGATTTAACCGAAAGAAAGTTAGGAGATACAACTATTACATCAATAGGACAATGGCCATTGACATCTTTAGACTTTGGGTCAGCACCGGCTCCCAACAGAAGTTTGACAGCTTCTGCAGCATTCAGAGATCCACCAGACACGGCACAGTGAAGGGCAGTGCTCTTATCATGTCCACAAGAACGATTAACATCAACATCAGGCAGAGATAGAATCAGCTTTAGAACATCGATACTACCATATGTAGCAGCAATCATCAATGGAGTTCTATGCTCAAGAACCATTTGCTTAGAGCCCTTTTGGCGCCCATACCACTGTCCAGCCTCATGAATACTGGATAAGTCACGCTCAGTCCATCTCTTGAAAGCCTCAATGTCATTATTGGCAGCAAGTTCAAGCAAGCTAGCAAAAGTATCTACAGTTTGAACAGTCAGATTATTCATGGTCATGTTGGCGGTCCAACAAATACCAAAGCTGATGGTATAGTTGGATACAATCTGATTTTAACAGCTGCAATAGAAAACACATACTTTCATCTCAGGACCCAACTGAAAGAAGAAGAAAAAACCTAAGCATTAGAATCAAGAAAAAAACATAACCCGGTACTTAGAGGAAGAGGGCCTTCCTTGAAAGAATCTTATAGGAAAAATAATAACTTCACAGGCAGGTAAGCGTAATTTAGTAAGCCTATTTACTTTTTTTGGACATATGAATTGGATCATATGTGTTGTGTGTACAGCCAAGTACTATCATTAAAACATATACACAACTTATGAGAGCTCTAACAACAAAATGAAATGCTAGAGATTCATAAACAGTAATATTATTCCGACGAATTCTAATAGGAGAAAAAAGAACTATGCCCCTTGCTGTTAGTGAGAAGACAATAAAAGGATTGAGCTAATTGGACAACCATTTTCTGACTCTAAAGACAACACAAAAGCCACATATCACAGAAAAAAGAAAAAAGAAGAATCTGTCCGAGGTAACCAAGTGAGAAATTAACACAGTACTTCCTTTTTGAAATGATAATATCATTATTTTAGAAAATAAAAGAAAAGTTCCACTATTTCAGACAGAGACTTTTCAGCTTTCTTTTACCTTAATTTTCTTGACAACCTAAAGGGACCATTCGATGATTAGAACAAGATGCCTAAACAAAACAAGATTTGACGAACTATGAATTCCTAAATAAGAAGTAAAGAGAAACGGCCAAGAACAGAATCAGAGGGAGGAAACAAAAGGAGAAAAACTTTCCCAAATTACAGATATAAGAAAAAGGCCAAAATCATTGCCAAAAGAACCATAATTGAATTCAATCTTCGAGAATTTACAAGCTTATAACCCATTATTTCGTCTATGTTAAAAATTATCCACATAAGTATAGATATAAAATCAAAAAGTAACAAACAAGATTGAAGAGCAGCAGCAGAAAAACAAAACATGTAAACTAACATAAAGTCCAAAGGGAAAACATTTACAATGAAATTTAAACACATGGAAATTAAGTTAAAAGTGGAATCACTTCTCACCAAATTATCAGCAAGAGCAAAGTGTGCAGCAGTTCTCCACATACATGAATATACCTGTGTATATATAGAGAGAGAAAGTGGGCAAGAGTCGTTTAGAGAGAGAGAGAGAGGAGGGGAACGAGAAAGTTGTGATAACCCAACAAGAGCTCCTCTTCTCTTTTTTAGTACTTCGCCATTTCCTATGCGCGGTAGTTGTTACTAGCATAACTAAAAAGAGCAGTGCGCTACACTAACCTTGTAGCCGAGTTTGGAAAAGGTCCGGATCATATATTTTATTATATGTATTTTTATTTTATATTTTTTTAAAATATTATTTACACGGCTCGAACATGTTAACTTCTGGTCACATAACATCAATTTTACTAATTACGCCAACACTACCCTTCAACTAACATAACAAAGTAAGAGTTAAAATAATTTTCTCCCTCCCAATTATGTTAGTGATTTAAAATAAATATATTTATATTGTTATAAAAATAAAATAATTTTTTTAAATTTAAATTATTTGTAGATATAAAATATACTACTCCTTTTTCTTTGAGATAAATTAAAAAAGAAACCTGACAAAAAATATATGACAGAATTAGTACAAACTAGTTCAAAGTAGTGGCTCTCTTTTTCTTTATCCTTTTAGTAATTTTTTAGGTGGTTGAAATGGACGCTTATTGAATAACCTCAACCACTATGCTAACATAAACTCAACAAATATAAATTTAAGTTATATACAGTTTAATATAAATAATTTTTGTATTATTAATGCAATTTGTATGTAATAACGTATAAGTTACTTTTAATTTTTGTTCTTGTATAAGTTACTTATAATGATTATTAGACTGTGTTCCTTGTAGTTAAAATTAAAATGATGTGATTGTGCGAATAATATTTTTTATAGAACTTAAGCTCCTAATTTATTATCAAGTTGTCTTTTTTAATTTTTCGAAAAAAAAGCTTAAGATATTAATGTTTACCACAAAGGTTGCGATCTTGTGTGTTTTGTCCTTTGTTTAGTATTATCACGTTATTAATTAGTCTTTTTTAAATTTCTCCATTCTCTTCATTCTTAAACAATTAGTGCTTGTTGAGTTCATACTTTCACTTCCTCTAACCTTAAAATATTCTATTATTGCTAAACTGGCTATATCATGTCTCATATGCTTTTTGAACGACCCATATTATGGTTTCGAATTTCGATCTGTATTTCAAAAAAAAAATGGATGTTTTCGCCAAAAAGAATTTTAACTGCCTTTGCTGGTCATATAATTTCTTTCTTTTTTAGTTTGAAAAAGATATTTATAATAACAAAAAAATTGCAAAAACAAATTATGTATTTTTTTAATTAGGTCGAATAGAAACCTTGGCGCAAATAAGAGTTATTATCGTATCATATAAAAATAACAGTTTTAAGTTGTCTAAACAATCTATTATGGCCCATTCCTTATTGGATATAGTGAGTTTTGTATACCGTGCTATCTTTTATTTGGATTTTGGTGACTAAATAAAAAATATTTTAAGTGCGAAGACGTATGGGAGCAAAGCGTTAAGTGTAATGTTATGAACTTATAATCATGTGGTTGTAGGATATCATTTCTCCTAATATATTATAGAAATTATTAAAGAATATCTGCTAAATAGCATGTTATCAAACTGGTATTAAAGATTATCATGCTAAGGTGGTTTCGTTATTTCAATCATATACAATTATCTCCTACACTTCAATCAATTACGATTATGATTATTAATGAACGAACATAATTGACAAAGAAAATTATCCCTATTCTACATTAATGATAGTTGAAAATTGAAAATTTTGGAGTATGTGTCAAATTTGTAAATTACAACGTTCTAAATTGGCTGAATTAAATTTTGTAAGAGTTGAAAATGAAATTAATGCGGAGTACGAACAACTCCAATCCATAAAACAATGATGACATTATATTTTGTTGGTTGCTTTATTTAAGTAGTTATTTGGGTGTCTGTCCAAAGACACTTGTAACGTCCCTGTCTTTAAATGGCATGTACTTCCAATGGGTAAAAGACTTTTTTTAGGGTAAAAAACGTTACAGTTAATCTTCTAACGTTTGGTTCTAGTCAAATAGCTTAGATTTTTTTACTAAATTTACTCCCACTTAGAAAAGAACACTTCAGAGTTGAGAGTTCAGAAGAGTACAGTTTGCTGCTTGGCAAAAATTGTATCAATTTTTAGACGTTGATATTTGTATATAGTTAAAACCGGCCCATCCGATTTTACTATTTGATCGAGATCGGGAGATTTCATCGAAGGATGGCCTCGTAACGGAACAGACTAAATCACGAGGATAAGGTACCGAGTTCAGAATCGAGGTACCTGTCGAGATCAAGGCTAGTAGCGATCGAAGCCAAATGAGACAGATATCGAGCAAGATCGAAGATAGCACAATAACAGAGGCGAGATATCCGTGACTGGTCGAGAATCATGACGTAAATCTCGGAACGGATCAAATCAGAAACGGTTAATTAGCTAATCATGGGGTTTTCTTCTGTAATTAGAATTATACCATAAGTGGAATTCCTCTACTATTTAAAGGAGGGTTCTAATCATTTGTAACACATATTGTTCACAGATGTTAAAGCAATATAATTCCCTTTCTCGTATATACTATTGTTCATCAGCTTGTTATATTTTAATTGTTCTTACATCAACCAGTTCGAGGGTATCCAAACTCGAGGGTTGAGTTCCATTCTAATAATGGTTTGCTTTACTTTATAGTTCATTTCTGTTATTAATATTCATATTTATCAATTAGTATTAAGTGAAATCACGTGTCCTTAGAACCACATTATAAGTTTAATTGTTATCCAATTTTAAAGGTAAACAGTTCGGCGCCCACCGTGGGGCCAAGAATAATAGTGATTGCTTAATACTGATTCCGATAACACAAACTGTTTTACACTTGTTCTTGTAAGAATCTTTATTTTCAGGATAAACATGTCAAATTCACAAGCAGCGCCTACACATGGTGACAACGGCCTCAGATTTTACGGGAAAAATGACAATATAGCTGCCCCC